TTTTAAATTTCTATCTCAATCTTTCTAATTCTTCTATTAGCATTAAGGAGTTTGCCAGAGACCTAGATGATAAGGTTGGGAAGGTGAGAGCTAGAAGGAAGACAAGTTAGGAGAATAGGATCTTCCCTTAGTTTCTAGAGGGACTAAGAGGGAGAGTGACTGAGTAAATTGGGTCCCTTTCCAGAATAAGACATATTTGCACTCTAGTTCCCTCCATCTCCCCTTGCTTGCCTCACCGTGTTTACCCAACCATATCCTGCTGTGTGTTAATCTTCATCTCTATGTTTTTTTTTTTTGTTTTTTTTTTTGTCATCTCATTATAAGGATTCATCAAACGCGAGGACAAAGCCTTTGGAAACCGGGCACCGTTGTTCCAGCTCCTCTTCCCTCCCTGTCATCCATGACCCTCCTGTGTTTCTCCTTGGTCCCCAACTCTACCCACCCCAACCACAGTTCCTGTCCCCAGATGTCTTGATGCCCAACATGGCAGGGGAGCCCCATAGACCCCCAGGTAACTCTCCCCAAATCTAATATTATGTGCCAGAATGTGGTGTACCTTTCCAGGGACCTAACGGGTCAAATCAGTATACCTCTGGGTGTGTGTGTGTGTGAGTGTGTGTGTGTGTGTGTGTGTGTGTGTGTGTGTCCCAAGGTGGAATTGTAAAGAGTTATAAATTACTGCTTTAATATCAAACATTAATCTAGATGAATTGTGATTGAGTCATTTCTTGGGCAACATGGTTCTAGGGTAAGGGTCTAGACCGAATTCTCAGACTCTAACTACCCATGAAAATGAATTGTTTCAGTCATGATAGAATAAGATGACCAAGGGGAATTAATACCCAGTCTTTAGGATTACCCAAAACAGAAAATGTCATCTCTATTAGCTAGTTTTCTCTTCTTCTATCCCGTAAGTCGCAGTTGTGGGATAGTCTAGGAGGACAAGGAGTGAATAGGAGATTTGGAAAGACCCTGCACATGGAATACCCATCCTATGTACACAGACCCAGACAATCTTGGGGAAGGTGGGAAGCATCCTTCTGGCTTTCTCCATAGCAAGCTTTGCTTCTTTTCCTCTTCATGGGCTGAATCTACAGTATAAGACAATGATTCTCAATGGGAAAGGGGAGGTGCTACTGGTATCTAGCTGGTAGAGGCCAGGGATGCTGTTAAACATCTGCAATGCACAAGGCAGTTTCCCTGGCCTCCTTAATCCCCCAAACAAAGAATTATCAGCCCCAAATATCAGTAGTGCAATGAATGTCCCAGGGCAAGGAGTGGTTGTGGTTCTAGAACAGTAGAGTAGTATTGTTGATATTTGTGTCCAAATTTTAGGGAGCTTCTAGATAGATGGACTTCCTATTACTCTGTGGAGCAGCCAAGTAGCCAGCTTCCTTTGACAGTTGTTAGGGGCATCTGATCATACAGGAATTATTTATTACAGCCTGTTTTGTACCAAATGCTACAGTGAAGGTACCATGTTAAGAAAATAAGTGATGGTTTGGAGTGGTGGTTCTAGGAGTAGAGCCGTCACAATGAGAGTATACATTTGTAATATTAGGGAGCCATGCGTGCGTGTGCATGCATGTGTGTGTGTGTTGGAGGAAGGATTGCAGTGGAGTGAGGTAGAAGTATGGCAGCGTCCAGGAGACTGTTTCATTTGCCCAGGTTGGAGTTAAGAGACTTGATTTTAATGTATATTAAGATTTTTAAAAAATGAAATTAAAAACAAAGCTAGGCTCCTTCTTTCCCTTTTGTGTACGTTCTTGGAGGGGTGGGGAGTTATGTAGAACAGCCAGGTCCTCTGGGAAAGAGAATGGTTTACTAAAGACGCTTAATCTTTGGGTTTCTTTTCTCCTCCCAGGAACTTCAAGGAGTGTCCAGCAGTTTCTGGCTATGTGTAACAGGGGTGAAACTTCCCAGGGAGTCAAGTATGCAGGAAGGACTTTGAACTACCGGAGTCTCCCACATTGTTCCAGAACAGATGCCTCCTGGGGAGCATGGTCAGAGACCAACCAGCATATTGGGGCCAGATTCCTGACTACTCCAGGGTGCAAGCCTCAGCTAACCCACACTGCCACACTACCAGAAAGACACCAGGGCATTCAGGTTCCTCATGCTCAGTCCTGGGGGGATCTTTTCCATTCACCCTCCCACCCTCCCATTGTTCACCCTGTGTCCCCACCATCAAGCAGCCTTCATGTACCCCTGAGGTCAGTTTGGAATTCGGGTCCTGGTCCAGGGTCTCGAGCCCCTGGTCCTCGAAGAGTAGATATGCCCCCAGATGATGACTGGAGGCAAAGCAGTCATACCCCACAATCTAGACACAGGAGGACACGGGGACAGGAGTTTCTATTTGTTCTAGCAGATGCCCCTGGAAGAGAGATGAGGGCTAGAGCCCTGCAGCATAGTAGGTGGTAAGGGTCACCCTTTTCCTTTCCTGGAGCCACTACTTTCTCTGTTAAACTATACTGTGGCAGTTTTGGTACGAGGGTTGTACTACTCTTATCTCACAAGGGATGTCATAAACCTCTAACATGACGTGGCTCTTTCAGAAGGAATATTTGAAATTCCAGTTTCACCTAGTAAAAGGAGCAGCTGCTATTTATTTAGGGCTTTATTTGAGCCACTTTAAAGAAGAATCCATATTACTCTGGACACTAGCTATTCCTTAGGATCTTAGGATCACCATTTTATTCCTGGATACTTTATGCCTCATCTGTACCTGAGCCCTCATCTTCTGCTCCCTACTCTATTACCCACTTCTATTCTTTGTTTTATGCACCTATCCCTATTACCTGACCTGTCTTCCTCGTCCCCCATTCTTGGAGAGACATGTAGTTCTATGGTCATGGTCCTGACCACATCATTAAGGGCAGCTCACCTTCCCAGGTATCGTGGACTGTCTTCCTGTGCCCCCAAACCTTAGGCCTAGAATGCGGAGCTGCCAGCATATCATTTGCCCTCTGAACAGTTGGAGTCAGGCACACTAACACACCCTCCTGTCTCAGCAGCAGAGCCATTATTGCCACTTGCTCAGTTGCCATTGTAAACCCTCAGAGTTAGCTGAATTATTTTAGGGCCAAACATACTGTTTTTGTAAAGTATTTTTCATTAATAAATCTATAAGATAGTTCTATTTAATTCCTTGTCATTTAGTTTTTTATTTAACCCCTTTTGTTTGCTCTTGCTCTTTTGTGGGCAGGGTGGGCATGCCTGATAAGCAAGAAATACCAATTCCCAGTGGCCTGGGGCTCCCAAAGAGTGAAGTATGGCACAAACATACATATATATGTGTGAAAGTGTGTGTGAACATGTATGAATAAATATGTATTTATGGCTTTTGACTGAGTGAAAATGAAGAGCCAAAGAGTTGAAAGATATTTGAAGGATATATACTCAAGGTAGGAGTCAATGTGCCCTAAAATGGAGTGACTTTCCTTGTTATTGCTGCTGCTAGTATACTTCCTACCCCTTTCCTGCCAAGAGACACTAAATATATTACATTATTTCTCCTTCCTTCCTTCCTTCCTTCCTTCCTTCCTTCCTTCCTTCCTTCCTTTCTTCCTTTCCTTTCCTTTCCTTTCCTTCCTTCCTTTGGGAGATTTTCTGGAGATTCAAACTGCTCTTACAAACTCACTCTTGATCTATGTACTCTTGGTGCCCTTCCTCTACTAGTTTGTGATATGCCTTCTACCCTTCCTTGCTCTCTTCCTATGGCTCTCCTTCCCCTGAGGAATTATGGCACTTCCATGCCAGAAAGATCCATTTTCACCCCTGCCCCACTTTCAAATTTTCCTCCCTCTAAAAGATATTTTGTGGGCTCCCTTTGCAAAGATTACCCATTAGCATTTCCCTTCTCTTTTACCCCAGGTCTCAGGATCGTTGAGATTGACAAAAAGAAGAGGTGGAAAGGTGCTCTTTGAGACATTTGGACCACTGCTTACCTAATTATCACCATCTATTATGAACATATTCTGAGCACATGTAGTGTTGAGGAGGAGGATGGGCAAGAATTTCTTACCCCACTCCATCTGCATTCTGTGCCATCAAGATACATAGATCTTAGTGGATACGCTGGTCTCTATCCATGACTCAGTGCATCTGGTGTCATACGTACACTCTTTTAATACTATTGATTGAACAGCCAGTCAGTTCTTGTCCCATTATCCCCTTCTCCATCAATGTCTACCTCTATAAAGGTTCTGTAAGTCACCTGCGAACAGATTGTGTATGTGCACAGAAATGCCGCATGAGGTGTTTCTTATGAGGAACTAATTTCCAATTCCTCTGCCTTCCAAATCTCTTAATTTCTGAATAAATCAAGAAGGAGGCTGTGTCCTTTTCAGGTGAATTCTGTAGACTCTGAAAATTGTTTCCTTCCTTTCCCGTTACCTGTTTTGATTATCAACCCCTGGAACCTACCTAGTCTGCTCTACCTGCGTTCTTATTCTGTGCCTTCAGATTTGACAATTCTAGGCATTGAACACATTCTCAAATTGCATTTTGAACGGTCACTTCTCTGTAGAACCTGCAATGCCTCCTCTATTTCTCTTGTTCCTTACTAACCAAAGTACTCAGCTCTGGGAGCCAAACTGTTATATATTTGTTTTTCTATTAGTAGGAGATTCTGAGGTTTGATCACGTCTCCCGATCTTACTGGGAGCTCCATGAAAACCCGCGTCATGTTTCCTATTTACCGTAGCAACTAGCTACGGACTGCCCTCATTCCTCACTCTTTGGTTTTTGCCGGCCCAGAATTTTAACCTGATCCCTTGGCCCCCTCCTGTTTCTCTAGCCTCAGTAATTTTGCCCAAGTTCCTAGAGCCTGCCCCGCCCCCGCCCCCGCAAGCGCGGTGCATGCCGGTCTTAGC